GCGGGTGCGGGGGGGGGGGGGGTCGGAGGTTTGGGAGTTAGTAGGGCGCAGACGCCGCTGGCGCAGGAAGCCAACCGTGCCGAGGTGAGAACCCTAAACGACTGCACCCATGGAGGAATGGGTTCAAAGAGCCGGAGGCAGCCAGGAACAGCGTAGAGAGCCTCCCCAGTATCCAAAGCTGCGATTACGATTTTTTGTGCTTCCCAGAAGAGCAGAAACCCACAAATTATATTATGGAAGTGTTCAGACTTACACAAACGTACAGAAAGTAGCTCGTCATTACGGATTCCAAGTACTCATCACCTAGCCTCAGCCGCAAATGGCCACCCTGGTGGCATTATGTGTGTTAAGACGAGCCTCAAATCAAGTATTGCTATGTTAATCTTAAGTAAAAAAGAGTTCCTTTCCTGTACATTTTGCAAGATGAAAAAGATTTCTGGAAATTGATTGAGCAACAATGTGAATGCACTAAACACTACTGAATTGTGCACTTAAAGTGGTTAAGATGGTAACTTGAGTTTTTAATCACAATTTTTGAAAGTTCCTTTCAAATTAAAAAATCTAATGCTGTAAATTAAGAAAAGAAAATCTGACCTCAAGTGTGCAATGGAAAGTAACTCATTGCCAAGTAGAGGCCCATAAGGTCTATTTTTAACTCTAGAGGCTCTGGAATGAACCTGCTGGTTTTGGTGCTCAGAGCAGTGGGACCTACGCTGAGGTGAACCTGAAGCACTGTGGTGCCCACTGTCCAGCTGTCTCTCAGATGTTTCCCTTTTCTTCTGAGGCACACCTTTAACCTTTGGGTAAGCTCCTGTTCCACTCCATACCTTTATTCACAGAAGAGTGAAGTGTGAATTCACCTCCTTCTCTCCACTTTAATTCTTTAGGGCTTACCTGGGTAGTCTTTCTCCAGTATGACATCTACTCTCTGTTCTCCCAAAGGTACCACATGTCAGTCCTTCACATTTCTAAAGCACATGGTATTAGCTGGTAGACAACCTTCCACATTCTAGCTTTTTTTTTTTTTGCTTTTTTTAGCTATCATTTTTTAACTGAGTCCGAAGTAGGTAGTTCTGAAAACTTCCTTTGGCCCACTCCAAACAAAACAAACTATAAAATGAGAAAGTAACTGCTAGATTTGGGTTTTTGGCTTCTCTTATCTTCCTGCAGGGGCCCCAGAACCAGTATTTTTCCTGGAGCTAAATTTTCTTAATATGGGTTGGCATTTATTAGAGAATTAAACAACCAATTGGATAAACTGCATCAGAAAGTTTTATTAGTTAATGAGTAATGACTACTTAGAGCTGTTCAGGAAAAAGTTAGGTACTTGATCACATCACTGGTTATGTATGGTAAGAAGGAATTAATGACAGGACACTTGGTAATGGGTGGCAAAGAGCAAAAGTTAGATTGAATCACAAGGTGAAATTGCTTAGTGGCTAATGTTTAAGGTTATATCTATACACTCAGAGCTATCAGAAGGATCATTATTAAAATATCTGCAGGAAATACCGTAATTGCTCATCTGTAACTCTTTTACCCTTTAACTTTCATTTTTCCCAGGAAACCATTATGATTTTGGATTAAGTTTTTTAGCAATGTAGATACCATGTTATAACTGCCTGTATACAGGAGGTAATATAAAATGAATGAACCATCTTCTTATATTTTCCTTTGTAGGGAAAATGGAAGAACTGAGTCAAGCCCTGGCTAGTAGCTTTTCTGTGTCTCAAGATCTGAATAGCACAGCTGCCCCACACCCTCGCCTGTCCCAGTACAAGTCCAAGTACAGTTCCCTGGAGCAGAGTGAGCGGCGTCAGCAGTTATTGGAACGGCAGAAATTGTAAGGGATGCTTTGACTCCCTGGCTTTTTTCTCCAGGCTGGGCATTGTGAACAGTTCAGAAAGCTCTAGGCTTGCTTCTACAGAACCCTCTTCAAAGTAGACCCTTTGTAGGTTGATCATCTTATCCACAAGGTTGGGAGGAATGAATCCTGGCAGAGGTAGATGTCTTTTACACCCAGAGCTTAGAAAAAAGATGAGGAAGTTTGAAAGTAAAACTTCAGTTATTTGGTTAATTTTTTTTTCCTGGCAGCAGTACTGAGCTTTGTAATTTATGGACTTGAGAAAGTCACGCCCAGACTTCCACTCCCCACATTCCCTGTGTAGCTTCTCCCACATTCTGAATTCTGGCCTTGGTGTGGTCTTCCTGTCTGCCTGCAGCCCAGATGTTTTTGTAGAGACCTTGGGAGCTCCAAACAAATAATTCCACAGGGAACTTGAGGAAATGTCTTCCATACATGTAATTCTCAGTGCCAATATGAGCATACAGGAAAAGAGAGCAGGATAGGAATGTTTGAGGCTATGCTTCTCTGAAGGCAAGGCCTGTCCTTTTATTCTCAGTGCAACATGGTCTCTTCTGGGTAATCAATTAAGGAATTGAAAATCAAGAGGAGCTATTAACAGCTGCACAGTTTCTGTACCATCTGCATTTTGCCCAGTGTTGCATCACTGCATGTATTTAGCAGAAATGGTTCCCTGTGGCCTCTGGGTTGCTTGCAGATTACCTTCTCAGATCACCCCATGCCCCCTCTTAAACAAAAAAAAACACTATAATTTACATATTTCAAATTTTGAACTATGAATACATGTAATGGATATATTACCTGTTGCAAAATAATTGGTGAAAAGTCTTCCTCCTAATTCTTTCCCCTTAGCTATTCAGTTTATCTCATATTATTAGTTTCTTAGGTATCCTTTCAAAGATATTCTCTGCAAAATGACCAAGTGTGATGACGTTTTTAAAATATATTTTATTGATTTTTTTTACAGAGAGGAAGGGAGAGGGATAGAGAGTTAGAAACATTGATGAGAGAGAAACATCGATCAGCTGCCTCCTGCACACTCCCCACTGGGGATGTGCCCGCAACCAAGGTACATGCCCTTGCCCGGAATCGAACCTGGGACCTTTCAGTCCGCAGGCTGACGCTCTATCCACTGAGCCAAACCAGTTAGGGCTGACCTTTTTTTTAAATCCTCCCTTGAGGATATGTTTTTTTTTTATTGATTTTAGAGAGAGAGAGGAAAGGAGAGAGAAAGAGAGGGAAACATCCATGAAAGGAGAAACATCGACTGGTATAGTCCCTGACCGGAAATGGAATCCATACCCTTTTGGTGACTAAGAGCTACCTGGCCTGCAACCTTTTTTTTTTTTTTTTAAGTATACTGTTCTGAACATTTAGCTAACAATGTTTCTTTGCAGAAATTCTATATCGTTAAGTTCCAGGTATTCCATTGAATGGACAGTTCATGATATAATAATCAAAGCAGTCCCCTACTGACGAGCATATGGGTAATTTCTTCTCTCTCTCTCTCTCTCTCTCTCTCTTTTTTTTTTTTAAATATATTTTTATTGATTTCAGAGAGGAAGGGAGAGGGAGAGATAGAAACATCAATGATGAGAGAATCATTGATCAG